TATTTGGGGATACAATGTCACAAACATACAAGGAGGTTTACATTTGTGAACCATTGAGTACCGAGTCCAATGCTGAAGCAATATATAGGGAAAGCCTTGTCACTGATACAAGACTGTTGTTGCAATAAAGTTGAGATGCAGTGTAGCACATTATTATGTGGCATGAAGTTTTCTGTCTGTCTCTCTCTCTGGATATGCACTTCAAATCTTTCTCTCCTTTATATTAAAAGAAAAAAAAAAGAAAAAGAAAAAGAGAGGGGGAGGGAGAAAAGGAAGAAAATGATTTAACAATTATGCAGGAAATTATATGATGCTAAAATTGTACCATGTACTGCTCTTTCAATGAAGGGACTTTCTACAGTTATTGCACATTACAAAGGCTATAATTTTAGGGCGTGAAAAAATGTAGATTCCAAACAAAGGAAAATTTAAATATGTCTAGTGGATAAGGCAAGGCGAAACAAAAAGAAGGCAGCTGGAGAAAATTTGAGGGAACAGTATTATTTTAAGGGAAGTGACTTAGAAAAAACTATGCTTAAGACTCCAAGACCTGAAAGGCCCAAGACCTCAAAATGCTGGAATGTTAAGCATCCATCCTTGTGTTCTGTCCATGAAGTACAGTGTTGGGGAATTTCTTCCTGCCCCCATCACTTTGTGTCAAAAAGACATAATTTTTATGTAAGCAGCCATTCATTTTTTACTGTCTCTTTTCTGCAGCCCAGCAGACAACACAAAAGTTGATTCCAAGTGTTGTGAAAATTGCTAGATTAATGCTAATTAATCGCATATTTGGTTGACAGTTTTAAGAGAAGAAACACTGGTCCAAATGAGTGAAAGCGGAGAGGTGAGTGTGATTACTGCAGTAGGGTTTTAACACATGCTCCTTGAAAAACCTCTAAGACTTCCAACTGTATGACAAAAGCCATGTTTTTCACCACTGACAGAACTTGAAAGGTTTTTTAGATGACATAGCAAGAATTATTCTCTGCATAGTGTGGGGCTGCTACTACTTTTGGGATCTTTGAGTAGGATGGTTCAAAGCAGAGTCACATTGACTGTACCAAATTGTGGTTACATGTCTGCCTTTTCTGGTCATTTCTACTGAGGATGAACAAAACCAGCACGATGATACATAAGCTGTGAAAAGAGGTTGCCTCCAGTAGTTTGTAAAGGGCTTTTTTTCAGAAGTGTGATTTAGCACTGGTTAGGCTTTTTTGTTCAGTTTGATTCATTTTGTTTAGGTTTTTATTCTGGTTGCTCCTGTTCTTTGGCACATCTGCACACAGTTTTGCATGTAAAGCACAGCATGGCTTTAAAGGGGTAAAGTACTTAGTTTCATTGTGAGGGGAATTGATCTGCCAGAAAATTCTGTTACTCTCTTGGCTCTATTGTGGAGGGCACCCTCACCTCCTCTTCAAAAAGGTTCATGGCCAGTGTTTGTGGTTTGCTGCTTCTCTCACTGGATGAGTTAATAAAGTGAGTGTGAGCCTCAGAGCATACACAGCAGTGAGGTAGGGTGGACAGTAGGAAACCAACACATCCTGGTTAACAAACACTGTGGCCAGGATTCTTCCTAGAGATTCTGATGGGAGAAGATAAATATTATTCTTAAAATTTTTAAAGGAAAACTGAATAATTATATCTGGTTGAAGAGTACTTGAGAAAATACCTGCAAGGTAGGTCCAGGCCTCATGTTAATTGGAAGCCTTCCAATGCCTGTTAAAAAGGCAGGCATTTCAGAGAAGACTAGACCTTCTAGAAGCAAAGGTTAAGAGGGCACCATGTTCAGGGGAATTTCAAACAGAGAAGTTGGTGTTAGTGAGTACTCAGAGTTACATGGGCTGATTGGCTCAGCAAATCTTCCCTTTTTTTCACCTCCAAATCATTTGCCAGCTTCATGCTCTAGGTTTTCATATGGTATCCAATCTACAGCTAGGTGATGGTCTTCTGTAAAATACACATGGTTTTGAGAGTTAAAGCAAACCTACAACTCCACAAGCATGTTCTACTGCTATTCCTAGTATTGTTCTGGCAGGATTACTGTAAGGTAAGTGGGGATTCCTGTCAAAATTGGTTTTTTTCTTCTTTCCCCTTCTCTGTCATTACTGGATCCAGTTGCTTTCCCATGAAGTTCCCTGGTCCCTTGGCCTCCCTTCTTCCAGGACACCTTCAGGGCAGATGTGGGTCTGTAATGTTTCAGCAGTGAGAAAGACCCCATGCACCTGTGTTGAAAGCCTCTATTACCCACATCTTATTGTGGTAGCAGAAAATTGTCACCAAAGCTTGTCTACTGGCCAGGTGTGTTGGGAGGTAACCTATGCTTTTATACTTTGCTTTAGACAAAGGGCAACAATAAAGACTTTTCTTGGTAAGATCTCGATGGGAAGCTGCTTTGTGCCAGTAGAAGTTGTTTGTGACTCTTATGGCTCCTACACCAAGGGATGCAACTACTCTCTCTCCCACAGATGCTGTGTTTGTCATATGTCTCCTTAGAGCCACTTATATTTGTGAGCCAAGCAGTTCCTGGGCTCTTAGGTGACCCTGAGCCATTGGATTATTAAAGCTCATAAATCCTATTGAAAGTGTTCAGAATTTCCTCAGCTTGATTTCTTCCCTACAGTACTCTAATATGTGGAGGTAATGCACATTCTCTACAATGAATCACAGAGCTCAAGATAACCAGCTCACTGCATTCCCTGCCTGGGACTCTCCCTCCTCCTCTTTTTCTCACCATTTTCTCTCTGGCCCATTCTAACACCATAGTTCACAACACTCTAGCTGACTCTCTTCTTACTACTCTTTCTCTTACTCACCACTGCATGTTTTGTAGCTTTGTCCTATCGTGCATGCCACACATACGTATTAAAACAGTACTACTATGCTAAGTTTCTATATCAGAGATGTGTTTCTGTCCAGTCCAACTGAGAGCTGCTGATGAGCCCTTTCTGTGGTCACTTTAGAACGTCCTTTTTTGAGCTGCCAGCCACTCATCAGCCATGAAACAGGCCACTGGCCCTCCTACACTCTGACCTGAAAGTTCGCTAGTCCTCCTGCCTGTAAACATAAATTGAAGGAAAGGCTACAGCAGGAGAGACAATGTGCACAAATGCTAGCGGTCAAAGACAGAGTTCAAATTCCTGCTCGTCTTCTTCTGAAAGTCACAGCTGAGCAGTGCTGTAGAAGCTACAGTTTCTGGTCTTGGGGAGATCAGGCAACTTTTTTTTGGTGTGGGGTGAGGAACTCCACACTGTAATCTCTTTTTCAAGATACACAGATATGGCACATCAAACACAATGGGATTTCCAAAAGAAACTATGAGGGGATTTGAAATGTCAAATACAAAGAAATGATTCTTTGCTTTCAGTGGGGGAAAAAAAAGCTGCCTCAGCCCCTCCAGCAACAGATTATATTTTTAAAGGGTTGTTCATTGATCTTTCTCCAAAGAAAGAATCTGAGATTTAGGTACCTGATCTTAATCCTAATGAAATCCATTGCAAAATTCTTACTGAGTTCATTGGAAAGAGCATAAAGCTTCATTTTTATTGTCAAGTCTGAGATACCAGTATATGCTTTACACAAATTGCTTGGGAAATTTTCCCTTACTTGAGACATTGTAGCTGAAAAAATATTTTAGCTCTTCCTGAGAAGTATTTAAAACTGGAGCAATTTGGCTATATTTACATATTGTAAAGTGCCATTTTAAACAGACATTCTATATTTTTATGTTAATCTGCAAATTATGCATGATTAATTTGTTTGTAACATGTAGGACATAAAAATGGAAAGGAGTTTAAAAATAAATGAAACCCCCTAAAACTGATCTCTTTCACATAAGATTACGAAAAAATACATCAACAGTTAGCTTATCATACTGTTGTGCCTCAAACTGAATCACTCTACAACTCTATAACATAACAGACTTTATATGTTAGAGGGCTTTTTTTTAACTAGGAAGCAACTAGAAACAGCAGAAATGTGCAACTAGTTGTGCAAGATTTCATTAATTTATTTAGTAACACTAGGTGCCTTCTCTCCAGATTCCTATCTGTGATTGCAGAACTGCAAGAAGCTCTGTATATTTTTCTGACATCTCATACTTCCAGTCTTATGCTGGGTTTTGAGAGCCCAGTAAGGTTTTCTTGATTTCTAGGTGAAATTAAGAGATCATAGCTAGAAAGTATGCTTGCAGTGAACAAGTAATATAATCTGTTGTCATGCTTTGGAAATACCTTGAGCTGAGGCATTTGGTGTTGTCTGTTGGAATTTGTGTACCTACAGTTTCATGTGTACTTCACCTCTATATGTTGGTTCTATTGCACAAGGGCACTTGGCAACACCAGAATCCTAGAAAGCATGTGATGCTGGTTAATTGGTTAGCTGTTTTGCTCAGGAAAGTACTTGGTGAAATAGGTCCTGTGTCTTTTTTTCCCCCTTGAAATTTGGCCATGTAACAGACAGAAAAAGGTTGACACTGTAAGTCTGAAGAGTTGATCTAGTTCTGTTTTTGCTTAAAAACACAGCTTCTGCTGTGTTCATGACAGTGCTGACTTTCATGAAGATTAAATGGATAATTATCACTGTCCATGTTTACAGATCAGGACAGGCTGAAGCAAGTCATTGCCATGGTTTGCCACCTCTTCAATATTATGATTGTGCAATGATTGTAATTTTTCTTTCTACAAAGTCCTGAAGAAATGGATGTAGGCTGCGCATTCTGTCATATCTGACTGAGAAGGTCTAAGGTGACTTCTTAACAAAGGAACGCAATTTCACTTATTTTCACATGCTGTGTTTGATGCTACTCAACATTCTGAGTTGAAAAACTACATTACGTGATACTGGAGTGATACTGGGTTTTTTTTCCTGGTTATTTCCACTGTTGTTGCTGTAGCTGGCATCTTTTAGCATTTGGTAACTTGCTCTAGGCACATCCAGCCTCGTAGGAGAGGGTGGAATGAACTGCCAGACTACAGCTTGGATTAATTTTTATCTTCTTACAGATCTAATGTATAAGTTTTGGCTCTTCCCACTCTGAAGACACTCCAGTATCTCAACACTGGGAGACAAGCTGTGGACACGTGGCTGGTTTACGTGTGCATGGTGTCTAGTGACTGGAGCAAGGTTCCGAAACGTTCACTACTCTCGTCCCCTTCCCTTCTGGAGGTGAGTTGCAAGGCATTTAGTGAAGGCATGAGTGAGTACTGCTTTTGTGGTCCTGGCACAGAGTGCATCTTCTCCCTTCTCTGGGCACCCTGCTTGGGAGTAATGGAATGATGGGCAGCAGCCAGGTGAGGCCCTCTCCATTTCACTGCAGGTCCAGAATAGTTTTGATAACCATCTTGGAAAATTAACTTTGGTCCATTGTTAAGATGGCTGCAACATCAAATGGCAAAAAGCAAAGAAGTGGTCCTTGCCCTGTCACCAGGTGCAACACACGAGTGCCATTTATAACCTCTCTGCTGGTCTTTTTGCTTTCAACTGGAACCTGTAGCACAGTGTTAAAGGGAATATGTTAAAGAATGAAATCAAAAGTAGATGGAGCCACACAGGATCATCCTAAGAGGAAACCACATCAGGAGGTGCATTAGCAGAACAGGTTTTGGTGTGCCTGGCTGAATGCTTCTGATCTCTTGAAGCGTGCACCAAGAGCCGGCTAATGCACACCCTGTTGTGGCTCATCACTCACTGTATTCTTCCAGTCTGATTCCATTCAGCAGTCCCCAATAAAAGCAGATGTTTGCTTCTAAGGGGAAAGAGGGGTTCCAGGGGTGCAAGGATAATGCCTACTAAAGCAAACATTTTCCTGCAACACTCTCCTGGCCTTCTGTATATTTGTCCATATTTACTGGTAAGCATGTTCTGCTACATTCATTAACCATAGCAAACTGTCTTCTCTAACTAGGGCTTTCTGAAAGCACATAATGAAAGGAGTGCATTTTTAACTGTGTATTTTAAATAATAATTGTCTGTCCGTGGGAGTTGGGTTATTTGTATCACCGTAGACAGAAATGATCTCTATATTTCATAGGACCTTGCTGCTTTGTACTTATTGACTGTTTATTTTTCATCCATAGGATTACTAATTGCAGCTAGTACCAGACGCTTCTATCTCCTTTCAGGTTATTGTAGTAGAGGGCATTGTACCAGATGCATGGTTATTCACAGACATGCATTTCCAGCAGCTGAATTGCTGGATCTGCTCTAAATGATCTATGGCAATTACATTTGGCGTTGTACAGCTATAATTTTACTGCATATTAATAGCCACCTAGCAAAGAGGTAAATGCCCTTTTCTCGGCTGGGTGCAGAATGAATGCCTGGATGTATTCAATTGGGTAAAACGAGGCCTGGGTTTTAAATGCATAGCAGTGGTTTCATGTATCGGAAACGCGTGTGCTGGTGAATTGCCTGTTTCCCTCTGCCTTGATGGTGTGCAGCAAGGCTCAGAGAGAAACATCATCAAGCCAGATCCTAGATAGAGACATGCTGGGCAGGGGAGGGGGAAGGGGATCATGTGCCCCATTTTTAGTGGCTCATCTGCTACCACCCAAAATCTGCTGCAGTCTTTTTTTTGTGTAATTTTTTTTTTTTACCCCTTTCAGCAGCTCGGCTGATCAGCCTGAAGGCTGTCAGGTTTCACCAGCAAAAATAATAATTAAAACCACCCTCCCTAGACCTTTCATTTAAAGATGTCCTCTGGAGTCAAGGCCTATTTCCTTCCCTCTTTATTTTTCTTGGGGGTCGTGTGTCGGGGGCGACAGGGAGTGGGTGGGAGCAAATAACAAGGAATCGGAGGGGATTAACGAGCTTTCTCCTTTATTAGCCCCGCTCGGGTGCTTTGTCTCTGTGCTCCCGGCTGAGGATGGGCTGACGGGGAGGGCTTGGGGCGGGGGAACAATGTGACTGGAGGGGTCGGCGTGCGGGAAAGCCACCGGCGCACGGGCAGGCGGACAGACAGACAGACAGACACAGAGCCACCCCACGCACAGACAGACGGGCGGGCATCTCGGGCCGTGTGCGGGGCTGGGTGGGGTGAGGGCGGGCAGCACAATGGCGCCGGGGCCAGCGGGTGCTGTGCGGCAGCCGGGGCAGCGGCAGCCGGGGCAGCGGCGCTGAGCGCAGCGAGCGCGGAGCCGGCGAGCGGCGGAGCCGGAGCGCGGCGCTGCCTGCGGTCCGGGGCGCACCACGCTGCGTGGGCGGGGAGAGAGAGAAAGGCAGAGGGAGAGACTCGCAGACAGACAGTACAGCCCGGGAGCGCGGCAGATAAAGGACGGAGCACGGGGAGAGAGGAGCGAGCCAGAAGGGGATCCAGGCAGGCGCCGGGAGCGGACGGGCAGAGGCGGGCGGAGCGGCGGACCGGGCCAGGACAGGAGGCGGCCGGCGGGTCGGGCGGTGCCGCCGCGGCCACCGCGCCCGGGCAGCAGCGCGGCGCGGCGGCGGATCTCCTCCCGCGGCGGAGGCGGAGGAAGAGACCATGTCTTTCAGGAAGACAGTCACTGTACTGTAACAGCAGCGTATCCGCAGCAAAATAAACAAACCGGCCAACCAAAAATACCAAACAAACAAAAATAGCCCGAGCCGCCAAGACGCTGGGGGCAGATCCCGTTTGCAGGCAAGGTAAAAAAAAAAAAAAAAAAAAAAAAAAAGGAAAAAGAAAAGGAACGAAAAAAAAAACCAAAAACAAAACCCAAGGAAGCCAAAGCAGAATCTGTCGACATTTGTGTGGCGTGATGTTCTTTGTTGTCGCGATTTTTTTCTTGTCTATTTTTTTTCTTCCAGCATGTGTTTTCTGTCATTTCGTTGGAGTCATTCGCCCCATCCCCCCTCCACCCCCCCCACCCCCCCTCCGCCACCCCTCCCGGTGATCTTTTAATTTTTGAGGTCAGGGCGGCTGGAGCATGTGGAGTGGAGAGAAACAGGAGCTGTGTATGAAACCGGGGCTTGCCTTTATTGCGTGCGATGGGCAATTATTAATAGCGGCTGCAGGATTCCGGCTCTAAGATGTGGTATTTACTAGAGGGGGAGGGAAAAGAAAAGGAAAAAAGGGTGTCGCTCGTAGTGCGGCGGGGCAGGATGCTATCGGTGCTGGAGCCGGCGCCTCGCACGGGACTGCGGAGCGGCAGCGTAGCGGAGGTGACAGCCAGGTAGGGCGGGAAGGGCTCGGCGCGGTCGCGGGGCCGCCTGCCCCGCGGAGGGCGGCGGCTTCCCAAAGTTTGGGCCGCCCGGCGGTGATCGCCAGAGGCGCTGCCGGCGGGAGCACAGGCGGGTCGGGGTCGGGCGCCGAGGTGAGGTGGCCGGGAGCCGGGCTGGGGCAGGGGAGACGAGCGCCAGGGACGAGGGGGGGTCTGCGGGGGGAGCTCGCCCTCCTCCTAGCAGTCATTTTAGCTAAAATGCATCAGACTCTTAAGTAAATCTCAACTTTTAGTCGCTGATTTGTGAACTGCATCGCGGGATCCGCTTTCAAAGCCGTGTTTGCTGGAGGGCAAGCCTGGGCTGCCTGGACTGGCATTGTTCTTAAGGGTGGCGATGTGAGGGCAACAGATTTACTTGATGCTTCCTTGGCATCTCTTTTTGCATGCAGTGGAGGAGGATCACAGTCCAGGTGTTACAGCCGTATTGTTAGGTGTCCCGTTTTCACAAAAAGCAGTTCATGTTACTCCGCTTGGTGTATTCTGCCTACTTGTCTGTGCGTCTCAAACGATATCGCTTGTAAATCTAACCCCGACGTGCTCATCTAGCGCAGCCATTGCGCAGCCTTGTTTAATTGCTGTTATTTATTTTGCCTTCATTCACCGCGTCAGCCAGCGGGGGGGAACACGCTCAGATTCCGGGCGCATTTTTACGTGCTAGGTGTGTCTCTGCGCTTCCAGGTGTGTGCGGTTTTGCTTAAAACTCATCCCGCCGCCGTGTGACATCGCTGTAAATGTGCCGGGAGGGGAAACAAAAGCATTAGAGAGCGACACAAGTGTTCTGTGCATCACCTGTTTGACTTCTCTGCCATTGCAATGCTGAGCCAGATGCATGCCCGGTGCGCGTTCTTCTAAATGGCATATGCACATTTTAGGCAAGTACAAGGCAATCGAAGCTGAGGGTGATGGGGAGGGGGTAAAAAAGCCAACCAAACCAAAACCGTACTGTAAACTGATCTGCAACTTTTTCAATCGCGTAATTTAACTGCACGCTGATTTTGTTTTAGCAGTCTTCGTCACGGATCGAGGCAAGTTTGTGTGCACAATTGGGCTTGCAAATTGCTAATCTCGCACTGACTTTGCCTCTCAGTTCCCAGCTGGGCATGGTTACCTTGAGAGCTGTGGTATCAGCACTGTCAGAGCATGCTCCGGTGGGGAGATCGGGTGTGTTCTATTTTTAATACTATTTAATGAAGATGCTTCTCACTCTGCAATATACGAAGCATAATGGAAGAGCAGAGCGATGATTGGTTATGGATACTGGAAAAGGAAAAATGCAAAGGTAAAAATGGAAATCCCTCAAATATTTCTATTACATTAATGAAAGAAAATGCAGCTGTGCAGAAAGGGGATTGATTAGCTTATTTTAAGCTGAAGAGTTTAATGGTGTCTAGGATGCTATTTTTTTTAAGTTTTTAAAAAAAGTTGCATGGAGCAAACTAGATAGATTATTTTGTGCTATTGGTAAATCTTATTCTATGTGGGCATGCTTATGTTGAAGAATATGCCTTTTTTTTAATAGTGAAGTATCTTACAGTGGAGTAGCGCTAAGGAGCATCTTAAATATTTTTTTTTCTTGAGATAACCAGTTTGAATGATTAGCTCTATTTACATGCTTATTGCTAGCTTCCTGAAGCGGGAGTTTTGAGTTTTTATTCCTTGCAGTTAAAAGTTAATTCAGTTGATACTAAAAATCATTGTTGCATGCAATGCTCACAGAATGCAAGCGGCTGTAACTCTCTTGTGAAGTGTAAAGGAAAATACCTATAGATAGCTACAGTGTATGCCACTTGGCAAGATCCATGGAGATACTTTTGAAAACTGCCCTGTTATGTTCAGTGTACTTGTAGTCAGAAATGTGTTTATTAGCTATTTGAATGAATCCACACACTTAGAATCATGTAGAGAAACTCGCCTTGATTAAAGATGTCTTCTGTAAAACAACTGTATTTTCTCTCTGTTGTCTGCAGTTTT